CGAGCTGCTGACGGTGACCTACGGCATGGCTTGTGCACCGTTCCTGGCCATCCGAACGCTGCGACAACTCTGTGCGGACGAGGGGGCGCAGTTTCCTCAAAGGGCCACAGCACTTCGGCGAGATTGCTACGTCGACGACGTAGTCACCGGAGCGGACGACCTCGGCGATGCCGTCAACCTCCAGACAGAGCTGCGCAACCTCTGCATGGCGGGCGGATTTTTGCTGAGGAAGTGGGCTTCAAACAATCCGGACGTCCTCAGCGGAGTCCCACAGGAGCATCGGCTGCAGCAAGGACCACATTCCTGGGACGACGAGAGCCATTCGACCTTGGGTCTGCGATGGCATCCTCAAGAAGACCGGTTTGCTTTCGCCATACATCCTCGTGTAGTCAGCGAGTTCACGAAGCGACGAGTCCTCGCAGAGACTGCACGGCTGTTTGACCCGATGGGCTGGCTCGCACCTGTCGTGATTCGGGCGAAGATCCTGATCCAGACCACCTGGCTTCAGCAACTCGACTGGGACACTCCACTACCTGCCAAGGACGTCAAACGTTGGCAACAGCTGCTGAACCAGCTACCTCTGTTCAGCAACATATGGGTGAATCGCTGGCTCAGCACCGACAGCGATTACTCCACGTTGCAGATCCACGGCTTCGCAGATGCATCAGAGCGAGGATATGCTGCCGCCGTTTACATCCGCAACTCTGGAAAGGAACAAATCACAATCAATTTAATCATGGCGAAATCTAAGGTCGCACCCGTCAAGCCAGTTTCGTTGCCTCGTCTTGAACTGTGCGCTGCTGTGCTACTCACCACGTTGACGTTGCATATCCGAAACACCCTCGGCTTGACATCAACTCCAGTGCACCTGTGGTCTGATTCCAAGGTCACTCTCCATTGGATCCAGGGACACGCCGCTCGCTGGAAAACGTTCGTCGCCAACCGGGTAGCTCACATCCAGACTCAGCTCCCGGACGCTCAGTGGAGACACGTGGCCGGGAAGGACAATCCTGCAGATTGCGCATCACGAGGAATTAATCCGGAAGAGTTAGTCAATCACACGCTATGGTGGACTGGACCTACCTGGTTGGCATTGGACGAGACAGCGTGGCCCAGCTCAGAGGTCGACATCGCAGAGGACGACCTTCCGGAACAACGCACCACCAGCCTGATGACCAAAGGTGCCGTCATCGTTGAACCGGATCTTCTCCTTCGGTTCTCCACACTCCATCGGCTGCTGCGCGTTACGGCCTGGTGTCGTCGATGGCTCAACGTGGCGAGCCGAGAGGTCACACTTGGTCGTCCGCTGCATCCTGACGAGCTGGACGCCGCCCTACTTCAGTGGCTTCGAATTGTGCAGGCACTCCACTTCCCGGACGAGGTAGCCGCTGCCACCGCGGGACGCCCCGGTCCACCACGCAGTTCACTGATCAAACTCAGTCCAATCCTCGACGACCAAGGTGTACTGCGCGTAGGAGGGCGCCTCAAACACGCTCTGCTGCCCTACGAGAAGCACCCGGTGATCGTTCCGCCGGCCTCCTGGATGACGCGACTGCTCATCGAGTCCTGCCATCGTCGGTCTCTACACGGCGGCGTCCAGATGACTCTCGGCTTGCTTCGTCTTCGATTCTGGGTGCCACGAGGAAGGACCGTCATTAAGCAGCAACTTCATCGGTGCGTCACTTGCACTCGCTGGCGAGCGGCCACTCCACAGCCTCCAATGGGCAACCTTCCGCGTGACCGAGTGACGCCGACTCGGCCATTCCTGAGCACTGGCCTGGACTACGCGGGACCCATCTTCATCCGGACCAGCAAGGGGCGCGGACACCGCTCACAGAGAGGATACATAGCTGTCTTCGTATGCTTTTGGTCGAAGGCTATCCATCTCGAGGTCGTCTCGGACTACAGTTCCGAGGCCTTCATCGCCGCCTTACGCCGCTTCGTCTCCCGCAGAGGCCTGTGTACGGACGTGTACAGCGACTGCGGCACGACGTTCGTCGGCGCCGATCGCACCCTGCGCGAGCTCTTCAAGGCGTCATCTTCCGAGGGCCATCACATCGCTCGCGCCGCCAACAATCAAGGGATCCGCTGGCACTTTAATCCGCCAGCGGCCCCTCACTTCGGTAGTCTGTGGGAGGCTGCCGTAAAATCCACAAAATTCCACCTCCGTCGAGTAATCGGCGAAACCACCCTCACATATGAGGAACTTAGCACACTCCTCACGCAAATCGAGGCGTGTCTTAATTCTCGTCCGTTGCAGGCTTTATCAGACGATCCGGACGACACTTCGGCGCTCACACCAGGCCACTTCCTCATCGGGGCGCCGCTATTAGCCGTACCTGAGCCATCGTTGACTGGTCAACCAGCATCCACTCTGTCACGCTGGCGTCATGTCCAATTGATGCGAGACCATTTTTGGCAGCGTTGGTCAGCGGAGTACGTGCACGGCCTTAACCCCCGCACCAAATGGGTCAAGGCCGAGGCCGCACCTCACGTGGGGGACCTCTGTCTCATTCGTTCGGAGCTCACCCCTCCGACTCGATGGCCTCTCGCACGGATCACGATACTGCATCCCGGGGACGACGGTATCGTCCGCGTGGTTTCGGTCCGCACCGCCACATCCGAATTCGTGCGCCCGCTCGTTAAATTAGTCATGCTTCCGGGCGCGGATCGTATTCCTGGCATGACTAACGCGGACACGTCGTCCGCCGGCACGTAATTCATCTCGCGACACTTTTCACCTCATGCATTGTATCACTTGTCACATCTCATTTTTTTTCATCCATCACCGCACTTACATTTGATCCATCACCGCACTGATAATTGTTCCGTCATCGCACTGCACTACACAACTCACCAAACACGCGGTTTCATTGCCTCAGCTGATCACCACATGTTCATTGTATCAGCTGATCGATTCACTTACCACGCGATCATCACGTGTATTTCTCCGCGCCTGCGCGTCTACCCCACCATCGATCACTATCGACTCGAGATTCCGCGGCCGAAATTCCACACATGTTGTCACTGCGCGACAAGGCGGGCGGGAATGTTCAAAACGCATCAGAAAATACTAGCCGTGGAATAAAATAAAATATTCTGTTCGAATAATATTTTATAAGATTCTAGAATAATCGATATTTACAGCAAATCGTTTTTTGTATGTTTTTCGCGGAGAAACACAGCGACATAAATCAATCTGTCTCAAAAAAACATTCCTCAAAATATCAACAATTAACGGTATCACAACCGTTCCGCCGAATAATTATTTTCAGTGAGCATGCGCAGCTTACCACGGGCGCCTCTTTTCACCAATAATTATCGCGATCACCCGCGCGCGCATGCTTTCTGCCAGCCGTCTTCCGTTAATTTTGACAGCGGCCAATAATGAGCTGTGCCCTCGAGTCACCTCGAGCACACTTAAAATTGCTCGCAATAATTGGCGCTTCCTGAAAAAGTGGGTTTTCTTCGGAAACCCATAAAAGAGAGCTCGCACCCGAAATCCGGGCCTTATCGCTTTTCCGCCGTGAACCGCATAACGCAACCGCAGATTTGTAAAACCGCTAAAATTCGTTGACAACCGCCGCTTATTCCGCACTTTGATTTTGATTCCGATTTTCTCTGTAAATTAAGTAAAATTGTAAAAGTTTGTTGAAGTGTTCGTTTTTAATTGTTTTATAATATTAAAGTCAGTTTAATACAAAAAGGTGACTCATCCTTTGGTGCAGCGCGATCCTTTCTCTCGCAGCGCGTTCGTGAACAGTGTGTATGCGAAGATTGTATTTCAGAGAAGGAGGGCGATGCTGAAAGGAGGATAAGAGAAGCCGATGTTCCCGAGGAACATAGGCCGACCACTGCCTGGGAGGTGTAGGCCTCCGAAAGCTGGGAGTGGTCTCGGCCACGAAGATCCAACCAGTGATCTTGACTGGTACCACGGGAGTCGGGTTGCCTAGGGGGATTCGTCCCTCGTCCCGGCAATTGAGGTCGGACTCGTGGGGGTAGTGGTTGAAGCCGCATGCTGGTTAGGGGCTCTCGGGCCTCGACGGGTGAGCAGTGTATCTGCTCGGGCACCAGTCTTGCACAGCTGGTAGAGCGTTGGATAGGAGCTCGCCCCAACCGGTGGGTTGCCGAAGAGTCCTACAAACTCGGAGGCGCTACTGGTAGTTCCTGGCCTGCTGGAACAAGCTGATTGGGCTTATCCCAATTCCGCACCCATGGGGGTCGTGTGATTAAGCTCTCTGAGCAGGTACCGCACGTTAAATCAACCACGGACATCTGTCCCTATCTACTTTCCCCAGGGGGCTACTGACGATTCGACAGTAGTACGGGCATAACGCACCCGGGGCCCCGAGGTTCCTCCCAAGCCAGGATGGGAGGCATCGTGTCTGGGGCTGCATGGCCGCGGGGAGGTTAAGTTGCGCGACCGCAAACGATCCGCCAGGGGCACCTGGCGCAACCTCTGTGGTATATAAGTCACTTTACCCAGGTGATGGAGGCTCTGCCTGAGTGAACATTTTTTTTTTGCCATACTCGTGGGATATACATGGAAAGCACAAAACTCAAACAAAAACACAAAAACTTGGCTGATACTTCGGTAACGACTAATGTTGGCACGAAAGTAACCGAAACTCTGAACGCCGAAAAAGAGAGAGAAAGAGAATTGCTGTTTGCGCGAAGGGGATCTGTAAGTAGATCATCACCTCCTTCGGGTAGTACCCAAAAAGACACTGAAGAGACGCATGAAGGGAACACAAGGCTGAGTGATTTTGAAAATGAGGAGGATGGATATGAAAGATTAGAACAGAGCACAGGAGTAAATGAAGTAGAGGAGATGATGGAGACAAGGGAACAGCTCGAGACATTCATGTTTAATGATAACAACAAAATAACAAAATCTGCAATAAAATACATATTGTCCAAATGGGCAGTACTAGAAAATAGACTACATAATGTAGTTTTAGAAAAAGAAAAATGGAAAGCTGCTTACCAAGCTGTTGCTGACTTGAGGCCTAAAGGACTCTCCTATGCTAATGTTACGGCAGGAACTCCAAGGACTGCTACAGGTACTGTAAAAGAAAAAGAAAGAAGGTCAGATACTACGCACAAAGTAGTACTAATTAAACCTATAAAAGAAGACGAAGATGCGAGAACGAATAGTGAAATAAAGAAGGAGGTTATAAAGGAACTGACAAGTACAAATAAAAGGCTGAGGATAAAGGCAATAAGGCAAATGAGAGGAAAAGGAGTAGTGGTGGAGGTGGATGAAAGAGACGGGGACTTTGTGAAAAGAATAAACCTAACAACAAAGAAATTGAAAGTAGAGGAGCCAAGGAAAATAAATCCTACTCTTATAATTTATGACGTAGACAGGGAATATAAGTTTGAAGATCTCAAAGAAGATTTCATACTTAAAAACTGTGACGATCCGGATCCAATCAAAATAGAAGAATACAAAAAGGATTGTGTGGGAGTAACTATGACTCTCTCGGTCCTCAAAGCAACACGCTGCGATGGTACTTAGAGAGAGTCGTGGTTGGTTCGTGATGCGCCAACGAAGTCCTCTAGTAAGGACCTTCAGCCTCTCACGTCCAAGTTGTACCTCCACCTCCTCGTGGTGCTCCCGGAAACGGCCTACTTTGGAAGTTTAGACTCGGTAAGTGTCGACTAAGAGAGTGTACAGCGAAGTGCGCCCCTAAGGGCTTCGGCCCATGCGCCTACGGTCATGGTGAGTTGTGGGGCCAAGAAAGACCGGGGTTTCTTGGGGGGCTCTCGGTTGTCAATCCGTTTGCCCCCCTACACGCAGTTAATTATGGAGAGAAATTTGAATGAGAATACTGTCCCGGGTTCTCGGATGGCCCGGGGACTGCGTGCGAGTGCTCGCTTGAGTGAGCGCGCGAGAGGTGCGGAGGACCCTGACGGGGTCGCAGCTGGTCCGTCGCGAACCACTATAAGGACCAGCCAGGCTGAAGTGGACAGCCTAGAGGAGGAAATGGTCAGCTGTGAGCAGTGTTCGGCGAGGTTCCGGAACATGCGTGGTCTTGGTGTCCACAAAGTACGTGCTCACCCACTACAAGCCAACAGTGCTATCAATGTTGACCGCGTAAAGGCCAGATGGTCAGTGGAGGAAACTAGACTCATGGCACGCGCTGAGGCTGAAGGCACCTTAGCCGGGGAGCTTTTCATTAACCAGTATCTGGAGACAAAGTTCCCCAATAGGAGTCTCAAAGCCATCAAGGGTAAACGGCAACAGGAGCCTTACCGAGTGATGGTTAGAGACTTCTGCCAAAAGATCCAATCGCGTCGCGCGATTGTGATCGATGAGGGCGATAGGGATGGTGCGGTGATGACACGAGCCGACACCATTCCTGCGGCCACTGAGGCTAGTACTGACGATCAAAGCGCACATCAGCCTCCCCCTGAACAAAGTTCTCAGAGGCTGCGGGACAAGATACAATCACTCGTAGAGCAGAGTGCGGCGTTCCGTAGCTACGAGGCTGATACTTTTGCTGGCACGGCAAGAGATGCTCTGACGGCGGGGAGGGTCGACGTCTTGGCTATCGAGAGATGGCTGGGCATGATCTTCCCTCGGTCGCTACAAGTGCGCCCTCCGCAACGCCTTTCGGCAAAGAAGCACTGTCCTCCAGTCAAGCGAGAGAGCAGGGAGCAGAGGAGAAAGTGGGAGTATGCAATTGTGCAATCCCTCTACAAGAAGAACAAGAAGTCCTGTTTGTCGCGTATCCTCGAGGGCGACTCGGTGCGCAAGAGGCCGTCTGCTGTCAAATTCTTTAACTGCTGGCGCCTCATTATGGAGGCCTCCAGCGGTGCGGATGGAGACATGACGGACTTGCGTGAGTCGTTTAGGGAGGCGGCACAGGCTGCGAGTGCTGGCCGTGGCCGTACGTCGGGTTTGAGAGGGATTCACCTCGAAGGTCTCGGCGATGGCGCTGCCACGGATCCAGTTCCTGTGGCGGATAAGACCTTGCTCTGGGATCCTATAACACCTGCAGAGGTAAACAGGATTTCCGTAAGGACTGGCACTGCGCCTGGATTGGACCAGATTACGCCAAGGATGTGGAACGCTGTTCCTGCGATTCTTCGTGCGCTTCTGTTCAATCTGCTGCTCCTGGCAGAGACGATCCCCTCGTCAATCGCCACAACCAGAACGGTATTCCTTGAGAGGGGGGTATGTCCGATCGGCCAGGTCCGACGGAGTACCGTCCTCAGCATAAGATCCGTTATAACAAGACACTTCCACAAGATATTGGCAAAGAGATTGGCAGCCCTCGACATCTTCGACAAGCGTCAAAGGGGGTTCCGGCCGGTGGACGGGGTATGTGAGAACGTCACAGTCCTTTCATCCGTGCTTTGGGACGCCCGGAGGCGTTGTCGTTCTCTGCATGTGGCGTGCATTGATCTGTCGAAAGCTTTCGATACGGTTGCGCACGCTGCTATTCATACGACTCTCGATGAGCTGGGGCTCCCTCGGGAGTTTAGAGAGTACGTAAGGGCTGTCTATTCGAATGCGCTGACCGAGTTGCAAGGGGTCAGCGCTGAGGAAGTGTCGGCCATCAAGATCGGCCGTGGCGTGAGACAGGGTGATCCGTTGTCGCCCCTGCTGTTCAATCTGGTCGTAGATAGAGCACTAGGAATTCTCTCGGAGGACGTTGGCTATCGGTTAAGTGGCCGGCTTATCAATGCGCTGGGCTACGCAGACGACAT